ATTATTATATATCCTGGAAGATTTTTACAATTATTTTTTTAATCCCATGATTTATTATTCACACAGAGAAGATCGATGATATTGAAACTACAACAAATAGTTTTTTCATGTGTTCCTCACAGCTAAGAAATCACTCTGGTCTATTCTTAAAATACCAGATATTTGGCTAGAACTATTGATTGTTTTCAGTTTGGTTACCTCAGCAGAATGACACACTATCCATTAAGAAGGGAAGTGTGAGGACAGAGGGCCACTCTGGCACACTGAGCCCCTGGACTGACTGAGTACCCAGATGCCTCCAGACCAGGTGTGCCAAGGCCACAGGCTCCTCTCAGAGGTGCAGGAGGGGGAGTGAGAAGACGCATGCGTTATCTCATGATGACCATCGCTATTCCACAGAGCCCACATTATCACAGGAGCAGATCCTTTGTTTTATTTTCTCCACGTCCCATGCTTTTATTTGGTATTACCCACCTTAACTCCTTATTTACTGTGTGGTATGCTCCTGTGAGTTCAGGGAGAAGAAAACAAAAAACAAAAAGCAAACATATTTGGTTTTGCTGACAGTATCGAACAAAACGAGGGACTGAGTCTCCTCTTGCCCTCCCTCCTGTCTTCCTTCCTTCCTTTTCCTCTTCCTCCTCCTCCCTCTCTTTTTTCCTTTTCTTCTTCTTTAGTAAAACATCTATCTTGGTGCCTGAACTTAGTGAAATTGCTGAGTTAGTCAAGGCAGTAAATCGAACGGGTCCCTTTTACCTCTAGAAAATACGAAAGCATCCTTCTGCCATTGAGCTGGCCCCCTTGGCGGGATCAAGTGGTACTGTTAACAGGAAGGCAGGAAAGTACGTGATCACTTCAGCGCTGTCATTACCAGAGGGTTTCACTGTGAACTACAGCATTCAGAGAAAGCAGGCAGGAGGGAAAAGGGGAGGCCACAGGAGCAGAAGGGAAGGAAATAAAAAGCAAGATTTCGTTTGTTTGTTCATGAGGCTCACCAGAATGGTGGTGATACTGATAGTAGAGGAATTCAACTCAAATGCAAAACGTCAGACTACTTTCATTTAAAAGGCCATTAAGACGGCCACCTTCTTTTATCCACACTGTTTCTCTGTTGCTAAAGGTGAATTGTTCTGCAGTAAAATTAGGCTTTTAGGCTCAGCCACACCCATGGCTTCAGCCGATCAATCCTTGTGCATCTTAAACCTGTCAAGACAAGATCTAACCTCAAGGTGTATATTTTAGTACCAGAGAAATCCCAAAGAGATCAGTTCATTTTATTTTTTCTTGCTGCTTGTAGGAAGAAAAACACAGTTTAAGAATTTTTTTTTCCTCTTTGGTATAAATTTTAAAATTTATTTAAATAAATCACTTATGTAATATCTCAAATTATAGCAATAAAATGGCCAAAGATATGAGAGTGCTTTAGATTTTTTAACTTAGTTCATAATACAGTTTCTAAGTGCTGTATCTAAGTAATGTTATCACCATCTTATAACAGGGAAATTTTGCTGAAGGCAAAGGAGAAAAGTTCAGCATCTTGGGTTTTGCTTCCTTCATTCCTTTATACCCAGGTTGCTTAGCACAGACACTGAGCTCTTACCCGAGAGCAATTATAATCATTTTTGTCTGTTTCTTCGAAGTCTGTTTTCTGTCTGGATTCTGTTGTGCAGCATATCGGATAAGCAGATCCCTAATGAGTTCAAAGTCAGCTAGTTAGTTCCTGGATGTGTAGCAGGCCCTGTTAATCCAGTTATGTGTAGCAGGTTACTCATTTTTCCTATGTCTACCCTCCTCCTGCCTGCACTAAGGTTTCTAATTTTATTGCAGAACAATTCACCTTTAGCAACAGAGAAATTAACTTTTTTTTTTTTTTAAAGCAACAGTGGTAAGCAAGGTGTTGTAGAAAAAGCAGACAGTATGGAATAGCTATTATTATATGGAAGAGCTACTATTCCCTATAGGACCATCTGTTTTCCCCACAAAAAAATACAGTGCTTCCCTGAGTTATTTTTTAAAGGGCTTAAGCAGTCATTCAGATAATCAGACTTCATTGCTGTGAAATTTCATCAAAGTGTACTCAATCCTTGAACTCATAATCTGGGTCCATTTTGCCAATCAGATAAAACTTCCTAGGCTTTTTCCTAGAGGCATGAGGGTTAACTTGATCTTATTGCATTGCAAAAGATTTTGTGCTACAAACCATTTTTCATAAAAGCTATTTGTTGTGTTAGAACTCCAGAAAGGCTCCTTGTTAGAATACATTTGGTGGTGGGGGGGGGGGGGAGTGACTTGCTGTGCCTTGTCACTTAGGGTGAAATGAAAATTCTTAGAAATTCTTACAAGTTACCAGCAGAAGAAATGAAGAGACAAAAATGATACAGGGGAAATTAGCATCTTAGTAAATAAAAATGTTATTTTTCTTGAACAGATCAACAATTATTTAAAAGGAAAAAAGGAAAAAAGAAAACAGCCCTAAGGAAATCCCTGATTTGGAAGCACTGAATTCATTTGTCTTATGATTGTCCCTTTCCTCTCCTCTCCTCTCCTCTCCTCTCCTCTCCTCTCCTCCCCTCCCCTCCCCTCCCCCCCCCTCCCCTCCCCTCCCCTTTCCTTTCCACATAGAGGTTGAAGCCACCTACTCCTTTCTTTTTTCTATGAAAGGTCAGCCACCCAAGGCATGCCCACTCACATCCACTCCAGCACAAACGGTCTTTGCATCAAAAAAGCACTAGGTGGTGCCCATTTTCTTTGCCGGTGAAAGAGCTGGATTTCCCCAAGGGAGTCACTCCAGGGAAGTTGATCAGCCCCCAGCCCCTCACAGTGCGGTCCCCTCTTCTGACAGATGACCAGGAGCGTGGCATCACGTTCAGTCATTTCCCTAAAGTATCCTGGGGCTTGCCAGTTTTAGGACAGAGTTTTGGTTTTGGAAGTCAGTGGTTTTTTAAATGTGAAGGTAGGAGTGGAGGGTTAGTAGTGGCAAAAAGCTTTGAATAGTCCCTTTGAAAAGAAAAGGTAAGAGGAATAAATGCTGTAACCCTGCCATCTGTGTCTCTAAAAAGTCATGGTTTACTATCTTTGTCAAGGCTTTCCTTCTGCCATATCATCCAGACAATGCATTTCACGTGCTAGTTTAATTGTTCCCATTTTTACCCATAATCAAGCTATAAAAATAAAAGAAAATAAAGGTTAATCTTAAATTTCAATTTGCCTCCTCGTGAAAACAATTCTTTGTCAAATGAAGTATGGTGAAACTGAAGATTTTGCATGCCTATGTTCACCCCTAAATTTACTGTTTGAAAAGGTGCCTTTATACCACTGGGTTTATTCCTTAAAAAAAAAAAAAAAAAATCTTATTAGGCACACTTAACAGATTATTGCTTTGTGAGCAAGGAGAGCAAATAACTGGCTAAGAAGATGTTTTCTTCAGGATAATTTTATCCAGGCGATATGCCCATCAGATGTGTTTCAGAATTTAGGAGCATTTAGAAAATTTTTGTTCTTGTAAAGATCTGGTATCAGCAGTTGGGCATGATCATACTGTTGCCACAAAATGAAAAGAAGAAACGAATATATGGACTATTTTTCTTTTAGTTGAAATAGGCAAAATGATTGTCAATCTATGACCTATTCTCTGAAATTTGGCTGAATAGGGTTCATTTGTTCCATGTATTTTTATGCTCTAAAGAGGGCAAGAAAATGGTTTTTTGAATGTTAAAAAGTAGACTCTGGCAGTAAAACCTGAACACTGTTTCCTAGTTGGTGAACTATATTCCAAAATAAAGGGAAAATAGAGATTGCTGGTAGTTTTAAGAAGTCAAACTAAGAAAAAAGCCCTATTATGAAACTACAAGAATTATTTCTGGGCTCTAGCTGTCCTGTCATATGTCATGACATGTGGCAGGTTGACTGCTCATTAATTCTATTTATATCAGTATGCTAATCCACCCCACTGAGTACACATGTGTTAAAATATTCATAAATTATGTTTATTGCGAACAAATATACATTAAATGCCAAAAGAAGACCATTATTTAAAGACAAAACTAGTCAACAATCAAAGAAGCATAGCCTTTTTACTGTCAGTCCACTACATTATGTTTTATCAAATTCACATTAATTGCCTCTCCTTCCAGTGCCTCATAGGAAATGTTTGTCTGTTGTTTTTAAACTGTACAAAAGAAATAGATTTCACTGAGAGCAATAAACTTGGGAAACAAAAGATGTTCTATTATTTGACCAATAATAATATCAACTGGAACAAGCCGTCTAAAGAGAAATGCCCTTCTGGCTTCCAAGTTTTTAAAAAGTATGTCGTTTGAATCCTAATACAGACTTGAATTGAATTTGAGGGTGTTTCATGAAATCGTAGACCAAATTAAATCAATCAGATAACTTTTTGATAAAAGGCTGTAAATAAAAATTAAGGGTTTATATATATTTTGGAAACAAACACATAAGGGATGGTTAAGAAAATCTAGAGCATTGGGAATTGAAACAAATAATTAAAATAAACTGGAGCACACTGTGTTTTAAAACTTATTACTTCCAAATGAAACAATCTTGAACTACTCTATTTTGAGTGATTTCAGGAAGTTGAAAAAGTTGAGGTGATGATTCTTTTTACAAGTTGCCTGTGCAGTTACAGACCACAGCTGAAAAGTTTGAATTCCTTGTCAAAATCCAAAGTGGTTTTAGTTAAAATATATTGCCTAACTTACCCAATTCATCATATTCTGAATTAAGGCCATGAAAACTTCTAGGATTATTAATTATTAGGACCACAGTTCAGGTATAACTAAAATAATGGTCATTTGAAAAAGTGAACCATGTCCTGGTCTAATCGTCTATTTGTAGCACTTCTTAGGAAACTTATAAATTTTCAAAACTTTAATTATACCTAAAGGGACACTTTTATTTCTAGAGAGAAATGACAAATGATGAGTAAAACAAAATAGGAAATTCAGATTTCGGTTCATTGTTATTGTACCCTTCTTTTACAGAGCAGGGGAGGGCACAACATGGACATGAAATACTTCTTGAATGTTGCCAGTACTTTGCTATAGGAGTGAAGCCATCACCCTCAGATTGCCTGCTCACTTCAGGTAAGATTTTCATTTCTTCTTCTTCTTTTTTAATTTTAGCTTTATTGAAGTATAACTGACAAATATAATTGTAAGATACTTAAAGTGTATATCATGAGGATTTGATGTACATGTTTGTTGTAAAGGACTTCCCGCATCTACTTAATTAACACATTCACCCTTTCACTTATTCCTTCCTTTACTCATTCGTTCATTTATTTATTTTGTGAGAACATTTAAGTTCTACTTTCTCAGCAAATTTCAGTTATGCAATACAGTGTCAACAACTGTAGTCCCGATGTTTTACATTAGATTGTCAGACCTTATTCATCTTGTAGCTGAAAGTTTGTACCTTTTTACTGACCTCTCCCCATTTTCCCCTTCCTGCCGCCTGTGGCAAACACTTTTCATTCTCTGTTTCTATGAGTTTGAATTTATTTTTTTTGTAGATTCCACATAAAGGGAAGATATTTTATATAGTGATACCTCACAGAATGTTTTACTTTCCACTTTCCGTTGGAAGAAAAATTTCTTATACATTGTTTAAAGAAATGTATAGATAGGGAATCTACCTATAGATAGGGAAACTATCAAAGGAAATAATTCAAAATGTAAAAAGAGAGCCAGATGTATAAAATTATCTTTCTAATGTTATTTATAATAACAAACATCAGAAGATGTTTTAATATCTAACAATAGAAGCATGATTAGAAAAACTGTAACATTAATTTGGTGAAATATTATGCAGCCAATAAAAATTATGGGTACAGGGCGCCTAGGTGGCTCAGTCGGTTAAGCGTCTGTCTTCGGCTCCGGTCATGGTCCCAGGGTCCTGGGATCGAGCCCCACGTCGGGCTCCCTGCTCAGCAGGGAGTCTGCTTCTACTTCTCCCTCTCCCGCTCCCCCTGCTTGTGCTCTCTCTCGTGCGTGCTCTCTCTCTCTCAAATAAATAAATAAATCTTTAAAACAATTATGGGTACGTAGCAGTAGGGGAAATGTGTAGTAAAATATTAAGTGAAAAAATTTCAGTGTATAAGATTAAGGTATAAAATGATTATAATAATTTTAAAACATGCAAATAATGAAACGCTAAAAGAGGATGGACAAGAATGTGAATCATCATATTAAGGAATAAAACTGATTTTTTGGCCCCTTTTCAATCTTTTATTATGCTGTCTTACCAAGATAATTTAAAATGCATTTTAAAATTTCAAAGAAATTATTTGGGGGAAATCAGTAGTTAATTTACTTTTTTTCCTTAGATGTCATAAATAATCACCACAGATTTTTGAGGAGAAAAATTAGACAACTTCCACTTCCAAAAATGCTAACTTTGAAACTGGTATCCCAGTGTGTGGTTTTCAGCAGTCAAACCTAATTTGCTTTTTATTGAATCACAGTGCACATATATTTTATTAGATAAGAATTCCTTTTTTTATTTTATTTTTTTTATTTCCCTCCTTATTGTATTCGACTCCAAACCACAGCATTTTCATCTATCAGTTCTCAAAAACCCTGGGCAGCCATTTCAGAAAAAAATAAAGCAAAATTAAAAAAAACCCAAAAAAACAAATCAAAACAGCACAAAACCCTTTCATTAAGCTCTCTGCAAAGTTTGGGATATGCACTTTCATGTGAATCTTGGCCTCTGTACAGCCCTGCTGCACCATCATTTTCATCTGAGATTTGAACATATTGGAAGAACTATAGCCTTCCTTTCTTTTATCCTGTCATTTTCCCCCCTGGAAGTGACGGGCATATGGCAGGCACCCTCCCTGGATTCTCAAACAACAGGAGGGACCTGATTTCAATTCCTACATCCTGTCATCAGTGACTCTTGGGATATTTTGTTCTTGCAAGGCTAAAGATGTGATTCGGATTTGCCATACGGACAGAGCTTAATGCGATGCCATTTTTACCACTGGAGCCCTCAATCAGTTAATTAAACATGATATAAATCACCGCATGTATTTGTAAAGTAAGATTAATATGGCAAAGTCAAAGTAAATGAGGAATCCCCCCCATCCTAGGAGTGTGAATCACAGATAGGAAGATTACACTTTCAGAAACTCAATACTTTTGAGCAGGCATTGTTGGTTTAATCCCTCAGACTGCTTTGTGCAACTTGAAACCTGGAGCTGTCATCTTTAGCCAGAATTTCAGCCATAACTTCCTCAGCTTTCACCCCACTATTGAAATCAGCATTCACAATGCTTAACAAAGATCAAACCTTTCAGTGGAACACAGTGCAGACTCTTAACCACCGGGGACACCAGAAACATGTTTAATAAATATTTCATTTTGTTTTAACATGAAGACTTCCCCAGTTTCCCATTTTTTGTCTTTCCTGGGGAGCTAAGGGCTACCCCCAAGTTGCACATTCCATCACTGTGGTCAGTTAGGTTTATAGCCTTAATAAAAGGATTTTCCCCTTTCACGTGCTAAGGAGCCTTGTTAAACCAGAGCAATTACAGAAACACAAGATAGGTGCTCTGCAAAGATCAAAGCTCACCTAAAGACAGCTCTGTAGGAATTTGGAGCTTTCTTTGAAAAGCACTCAGTTTACAAAGTATAGAGGTATTAAACCCCAGGAATTTTTTTTTTTTTAAAGCCTAGTTTCAAATAATGTTAAAAGTCTGACAGTAGTTAATATGGGACCTCCTTCAGCCACTCTGTGTATTATTCCTAATATCTATTCACAGCATATCTATAATAGCTCCAAAGGAACCATTATGCTCAGAAGACATACGCATATGATGGATCCTTAATACCAAATACATTACCTACTCAGTAGGTACATTTTAACCTCAATATCCTAGCTCAGGGGGAAGGGTGAGAAAATGGCCTGTAAATTTCTTTAGGAGGAATAAAAATGCAGCGTGCCTGGGCCTTACCTTGTGACTCACTCAGTGGGATCACTAGAGGCTGTACCAGGTGACAACAGCACTTGCCTTTGGGGCCACCACACAACTCACCTAACCGCAATGGGGTGTTGATGCACCCAGTCTTAGGCATTATGTTTACCTCTCTAGATTGTTGTCATTCTTCCTGAAAATACACACACACACACACACACACACACACACATCACGCTTGAAGGTTCCATTTCTGAATAACATTGATAAATCCTGAGTGGTTTAAACTCAGCCGTGTGGCTGTGGGAGCTTTCAGGTGACAAAGAGTTTGAGGATTTCTTTCTGGATTCAGCTCTCTGCAAGCCAAATGATTTCTATTGTGTTCAGCATCTTAATACAACAGAGTAGTATAAATGAGCTCAGCCTGGGATTTTGAATTCTCTGTTTCAGTTTAGGAAAATAAGTTATTTAAGCAGTTATTGCCAGAAACACTTTGATATCAATTTAGAGAACACTGGCATTTTTGATGTCCAGTAGTCTTGGCTTTGAAAAATGCAGAGATAAATGCAAAACCCTCATTTTACATCAGCATATCTATTTTTAAGAAAACATTTTAATGGTGGTAAAAATTGGAGCAGGTATTTATTGACTACTTGTTACATGCCAAGCAGGTTACATGGGATATCTTATTTAATCTTTATGACAATCCTGTGAGGTAGGTTCTATTACTATATTTACTTTATAGGCGAAGAAACTGTGGAAGGGCTGAGTAATTTGCCAAAGATCACACAGTTGGTAAGTTGTGATTCTAATAAAGGTATATATATCTGGAAGCCAAGCTTTCACAGCCTGTGACTCTCTGATTTGAAGTTTATTTTGTGCTGTGACCTAAAGTTTGTATTTTATAGTTTCTTTTTATTTAATAGTGACTTTTAGGAGTTGAAATTAAAGTTAACAGCATTGTTGTTGTTGTTTTTCTTTTTTTTCCCAGAGATTGACTTTCTTGCTTTTAATTTTGGTGTTAAACAGTACTTAAACTTTAAGTTTGGTGTTTCTCATAATTTATTTTGGGAAATGGCGTACACCAAAAATAAACTGAGAGAGTTTCATGATAGTAAGCAATTTTTTTTTGCCTTAGAATCACCATTCCCTAATTCACCTGAGAAAAAATCATCGAAAGAAGAAATATTCAGTTATCTTGTTTGTCTTTCCTTTTTATTTATTTATTTAGCCTTTTCTTTGACTAGCTCAAGATTCTGATATTTTATCAAATGATGAAGAAGATTGTTCCAGAGTTTTGGAAGTATTACGTTTCAATGTTAGTCAGATAGGCCTGACTTAAAGTCTTAGAATCACCAATATTTGGGTCTATAATCTTGGGTACCTAGTTAAATTCTATTAAGGTCAACAGATTATCATTGGCAAATGAGAAAAATAAGGCCAGTCGTACACTTTTATTATGAAAACTGTGAAAATAAAATAACACATACATAAAACACCTATGTGTCTGACCTATGATGGTTCAAGAAATGTTACTTTCCTCTCTCCCCTTGATTGTATTTATAATAGATCTGATTGAAAATGTTCCCTATTCTCCCTTAAATAGGCTTTGGAAATCCTGCTTCCATAGTCTGGCACTTTACTGGAAAAGAAATTCTGAGGCCATGATCAAGCTTGAGTGTTTGTATCATCAGGGAGCCCTTCTACCACCCCTGCCAGGCCTGAAACTGAATACAGGGGAACTTACTCTTCTTGTCCAGGCTTAGCCTGATGGTTGGATATCAAAAAGATACTTGAAATAGGAGGAAAAGGCACGATTTCAGTTTAGATTATGAACATTGTAGATTTTAAGAATTTTCTAGCTATCTTTTATGGATTGTCAAATCTCATTTGAACAAATATCTCAACCCACTAGTCGGCAACAACATATGTCATCTTGCCCTTTAAGACCTTGTCACCCACTGCTCCAAGACAGGCCACTTCCTCCTGAGGCTATAGAGACCTGGCCTGTGTGTTCGAATAGCCTCTAGCTTCTTGCTGGTATGTAATAAATATTAATAATTATTCAATCAATCAATCTGCCACCTTTTATAAGCACTAGATTTCTTTCACGGTATAAAAACACAGTTGACATTTTATCGAAATTCAAGAATTTTTGAAGGAGTC